CTATCAGTATCCATGATTAAAAGATCGCAGAAATCGGCCTTCTGAACAGCCGTGAGCTGGAGCACTTGCCTCGGGCTAGTATTTTGAGAAGAAAGCGGCGTGCGCTACTTCGAAGAAATTTATACGAGTATCATCCGTCAAATAGTTGTCTTTTACTAATATTCGCTCGCCCAAAAATTTCACGTGACTTTGGTTTTTATGGTTTTGCAGCCGCACAAAACGGTTTTACAAAACCCAAATCCCAACCCTAACCCTAACCCTAAGGCTAACCCCGAAGCTATTCATAACCCTTACCACAACTCTAACCCTAACCCGAGCCCAAAATAAACAATCGAATTCGTGTTTTACTAGCCTGTCACGTGACCAAAACGGTTTTTTGCCCATAACTCTCCAGGGAAGCATTTTACTTTACAAACTGAAACAGGAAACGTGCATTACAATGAAATAGAATTTCACGTGTTCAAGCTAATTTGTAACTGTGTTCAAATATACACATTTGTAAGCTGTATTTCGTCGACAAATCTTCTGTTACACGAAGGGAAGTATTGCAGCTGATACATCATTGACGAGTTGATACGTTTTGACGAGCAGTGTGCATTGTCTTGAGCTAGTAGTAATAGTAATAGTATTACATTTATCTCACGGAGTTGATCCTTTCATTCCTTTGATTGTTTCGACAAATTTTCTCATGTTTTCCATATAAGTTATGATTCACAAAGAAACTGCTGCTAACTGCTGCTAACTGCTGCTCACTGCTGGCGCTGCTCACTGCTGCTCACTGCTGCTAACAGTAACTGCTGCTCACTGCTGCTCACTGCTGCTCACTGCTGCTATGGGCGCGCGCGACAGCAGCAGTTAGCAGCAGTTAGCAGCCTCGTGAGCAGCAGTTAGCAGCAGTGAGCAGCAGTGAGCAGCAGTGAGCAGAGCCTCCGCAGTGAGAGCAGTGTGCAGCAGTTGCAGCTGTTTCTTTGCTAAAATGCACTATAGTCCTCCTTGGACCCGTGGGATTGATCACAATATGGTAAAAATATTAACGTCACTGATTGAATAACATTGATCTGTTCTGAGTTAGGACCAAGGATATGGCGGGGGGCCGACTTATAGGGGCCGACTTATAGGGGCCGACTAGGGGCCGACTTATAGGGGCCGACTAGGGGCCGACTATGGGCCGACTAGGGGCGACTTAGGCGGCGACTGGGCCCCTACTAGGGGCCGCTAGGGGCCCCGACTAGGGCGACTAGGGGCAGACTATGGGACGAATTGGGGCCGGTCTAAGGGCCGTCTAGGAGGCGACTAGGGACCGACTAGGGGCGACTAGGGGCCGACTAGTGACTAGGGGTCGATAGGGGTTGAGCCGCCTAGGGGCGGAGTCATCTGTCACATTATTTTGTGGTTGGAACCATATATATACCATATATATATACAACATTTAACTATATAAGTTTCTACTTGAGTTCTTTTTCAGCGGCCTCTTCGAATTTTGGTTAGATTGGTTATAAGATTTATGATGTTGTTATCGTAAAAATTGAAACTAATTTCTTGAAACTGGTCTTTTTACAAGTCGCATGAAGGAAAATTAGCAGTATTATAATACAGTAATATTGTATTTGATAGTTAAATGATCGTATAAAATTCATAACATTCTTACGATAGGTAAAGATAGACGACATATATTAAATATGCAATATACATGTATATGTATATTATATATATATTATATATAAAGATAAAACAAAGTAGCAACAACCAATCACCATGTGGCCGGGTCATGAATATCATTGGAATTAGTGAGTATTATTATAATGAAGTGCAGCCGCCAGCCACTAATTTGTGAGCTGCCCACGTGTGGCTGTAGCGCGAACCTCGTGAGCTCATCACATACCACGACTAGTAAAGTAATCATGACACCATTTTAACACTGGACTACCTGATTACTTTCAGTGTCTTTACCGACCGTAACCCTCACGTCTGCTGTACGGCCCTGTCATGATATGATCATAACAGCAGGTAGACTTGGTCATCTTCACCACACCTATACAATCTGGGGGATACGTTTTAGCTTTTTCTACTTCTCAATTCAGATCTTGATATTTTCCTTTGCCCTTTGTGCTGGATAAAATTCCTTTTGTGCGGGTTAGAATTTTTGTGTGCTTGTTATTTTGTTAAGAATGGCGTTAAACATCACCACCAGTCATCATGTCGTCCAAATATGCAGCATACTGGCAGTATGATACTTTCAAGTGACTCTAGTTAGAGAAATACAAGTTTTTTAGATGCAGTGGAGGGATAAGTTGTGTTGCTACTATTATAGTATTATACTTGTTTAACAGTTTTTAGATGCTTTTTTCTTTCATTTCACGATTCCACGAACCTTACAAATCGCGCGATAAACATGAAAAATACCTGAGGGCTTTAACTTGCCTCAAATTATCACCCGACAGTCGAATCTAGCCCAAAATCCGACATTTGTAATTTACGTATTAAATTACACCGACCTTCTAGTCAGGCGTAGTCATATTTGTGGTGCGTAATTATGTAATGTTTTCTCATCAAATGCATTTATTAAAGATTCCAAGGTGCACAGGAGTGGAGCTTCAACAAAAAAATCAAAAACTGTCATTTCGAAAGCTTGGCAGTTTTGGAATGTTGTGATAAAATTACAACAGACTTAGATCTAATTGCACCTTGATAAATCTTAATACTAGTTTGTTAATTACATTAAAGCTGCACAATTTCCGTACCGGAACTAATATTCTCCTTTGTTCTCTCAAAATTATTAACCGGACGAGGAGGGTTTACTCTTGTCTATCTAACGGTTTTACAGCAGGGTGTCAGAATTATTATTGTTCGAAATTGTATGTGTATTTTATGTTGAATTCATATTTTTCAACGGATCATAACTTTAATCTGAATATAAAATTACAAAATTCAAAAACTGGTCTGTAGACAATTGTTTGAACTTTTTCGTAGGTTCAGAATTTTGTGTTGATGTACCAGCTCACAAATCACAACCCGTACTCTTGTCTATCTAACAATCAGCCGTGAGAAGAGCAGTCTTGGGAAATTGGTGTTGTTAACATTCCACATACCTTATCGTTCGTATCAGGTTTCTTAAATTCTTGTAAAATCTAGTCCCTCATCCAATAAAGCCACGGTTTGGTGACATCGTGCTTTCTACTTTCGTGATGTTTGCGTTATTGAGTTAGAGCCGTGGTTGTCAGATTTTTAACCAAATGAGGACATGTTTTATTCTTTGTTGTTAGTTTTACTGATAAGATTTTCAGAGTTTGTGATTGGTGCGATGTTGTTTCAAATATAAACGTATATCACATACCCTCACACTCGCGAATAAACTTGTTACCAAATTAGGGCATGTGCGTTGTTTTTCTTTATTCTGTCATTACTGATAAGATTTGGCAAATGTTCCAGGTTTGCTCCATATATAATAAACAAGCAATCACAAACCCTCACATTGTCGCTGTAGTTTATGCTACAAACTGGTGCTTTTATTAGCCCTTGGTGCCATCACAATATATTACAAACTTGACTTTAAAACTTGTTTCCTTACACAAAAGAATGTATTTCCTTGACAGGTGCAATTGCATATTCTTTAGTGACCGGAATGCGGTATGAGCCCTATATACTACGTCATATGTACTGGTAGTGACGTCATATGTACTGGTAGTGGACGTATAGTACTGGTTAGTGAAGTGGAGTCATATGTACTGTAGTATAATATACCTGTTAATAGATTGGTCCGGGCGTTTAAGTGACATATATTTATTGTAAACAGATGGAGAATATGACATATTGTAGACAGTTTCCGTAGTTTAAAGTAGGTGTTAAAAGGGAGGGGATAATTAATTACAGAGTTTGCATATAACTGCAGGGAGTTGTTGTTTGTCACTCTCAGTCTCATCGTATGTCGACGAAACTAGGATTTTATTAGCCAAGATAATTTGTCGGTTTTGTAATGTTTTATTTTTGGTTGGCTTTGTAGTATTGATTTCGTTTTTGCTATTCGTTAATCGTTTGAACATCGTGCGATTTCATTCTGTCCATGTCGTTGAATTTGAAATGCATCAGAATATGATGAGATACATTTAATCATTCACATTTGTTCTCTTATTTCTATTTTATTTTAGACTTGTTTTTATTTGTATTAGAGACCGTATACCGAATTTTTTCAGTTTCAGTAGTTACAGTACTCTCTAAATCTAAGAATTCAGGTTTTAACGATGAGACAGAATCTTTTTTAGTTTTTTTATCAATACCTTATCGAACTTTAGTTGATAACGATAAGTCAGGTACCCGACATTATAATGCCTCCTGCAGCTGCTTCAGAGTTAAGTCATGAAATAGGACCCGCCCCACCCACACGGCTGATTAAAAAGGCCCAATAATGTATCCCAGCTATAATATGCTAGCCTACATTTACACTGCTTCAATATTTCTTGCAGCTCTTAACTAGCTCTCGCTAAAATTTTTCTGCCTATTTTCTGCCTATTGAAACCTTGATCTTCTAATAAAATATTCACTTTAGCATTAAGTATTGAAACCTTGATCTTCTAATAAAATCTTCACTTTGCATTAAGTATTGGAAACTTGATATTCTAATAAAATCTTCACTTTAGCATTAAGTATTGAAACCTTGATCTTCTAATAAAATCTTCACTTTAGCATTAAGTTTTGAAACCTTGATTCTTCTAATAAAATCTTCACTTTAGCATTAAGTATTGAAACCTTAATCTTCTAATAAAATCTTCACTTTAGCATTAAGTATTGAAACCTTGATCTTCTAATAAAATCTTCACTTTAGCATTAAGTATTGAAACCTTGATCTTCTAATAAATCTTCGCTTTAGCATTAAGTATTGAAACCTTGATCTTCTAATAAAATCTTCCCTTTAGCATTAGGTATTGAAACCTTGATTTTCTAATAAAATCTTCACTTTAGCATTAAGTATTGAAACCTTGATCTTCTAATAAAATCTTCACCTCAGCATTATGGTATGTCGTTAGAGAATTTACACGTGAAGAATATCTATGTTATCGGGGAGAACCTAAAGAGTAAGATAGGACAGGAGTTAGACAGCCAGTTCAGTGGACAGAAGCTTGTGTCGTGGTTACTGGACAACGATGGACAGGTATAGTACATTTTTATACAATTCTACGATGTACGATCGATACACCAAATGTATGTGACATTATTATTACAATGATGTGACTTACTCATTTAAGATTGTAGGTAAAGTTATATATCGCTAGTGTGTTGCCAGTTGCTCGGGTTATACACACGTATTTGGAAAGCTCCTGCTATATAATTTATATGTTTCAATAGCCCGCTCCAAGAACTGTTTGATACAATTACTTTTGCCATGTTTACCGCAATTTGCGAACCTTTTTAAATTCTTATCTTTTTTATTAAATACTTTTCAAATTTTACGAGTACAGCAATGATGAATAATAAAAAAAATTGAATCGTTCATAATATCGCCCCCATCTGTAAAATTTTGATGGGCACCAAACACGGTATACACATAGTGAACTATGTCCGCAGTACACTTGGAACCATTACATCGGAAATTAATCTAAATCCAAAAATTATGGAAAAAATATTTTAAATAACAAACAATGCCATGGTGATTAACTGTGGTTATATAGTCAAAATTGGTATTTTTCATAGTCAAATTCCAGATACATTAGATACAGGTCTGATTGGTCATTAATGTGTGGAGAAGGTGTGCGGGTGAAGGGTGATATGATGTTGTAAGTAGTTAGAAGGAGGATAAACAAGAATTTTCGCCGCGGTTTAAACACGCACGTTAATTTTCCCCACGATGTTACTTGTACCATTAATTCTTTTGGGTGACAATGTGTGACTGGGAAAAAAAAGTGAAAAATATTTACATACTATGGTTTTTAAATGAGTGGGTATTGTGCATGGTCAAAATTGAGATTTAGTTGACCAATGTTAGCGCTGCGCATCAACAATAAATGAATCCAAAAAATTGCGGAAAATAACTTGCGAAGGAGGAAATTACCTGTAATCAATTAACACATGGCTAGCGTTGCGGCCCGCAGCATAACAGTCGCTTTTCCTATTCACCATAATTATAGGGGAGTGGTCTATATTACGAAGGTGCCAGACTTTTGTCATCAACGTAGGACCATCGGGCCACACATATATCTAAACCCGATTACTTATTCCTAGATCTTTTTGCCTTCGGCAAGAGTAGGGAAAAAAAATTAATAAAACAAATAATAATAATAATATGGGGGAGCAAAGAGACTAGGCTAGGCTGTTGTTTCACTATCCAATAAAATTTCATAGATGCTTTGTGACCTCAGCTTTGGAAAAGACTAGTAGGACCACAATCTGTCTTATCTGTAAAGGGGTCATTCCACGTATATGAGTTCTGTAGAAAATTGATTTTGCCAGTGGGGCTATTTGAGGTACATATTATGGTGGTTTGAATCTGACAACTTAACTTAGGTAAAATTGATGACACAATAGACAGGACTGTCGGGTGGCAAAGTCTTAGTCGAGTAGTTGCCCTGTATAGAAAGAGAGATAGTGAGGCAGCGATACATCGGATTAAATTGTTTCAGAACTTGTGGAAAAAAATAGATCATTCAAGTTCAAACTTTTGAGACAAAGGGGAGAAATGTTCGACAAGCTTGCACTTTTTGACATATTTTGCTCGGTGGTTAACTGCGGCCCTCTTTCAGACAGAATCCATTTAATAGCTCTCTTTTGGTGTCTTTCTAATTTATCTCTAATTGATTTATTACAAGGGCGCAGATTATGGAACAATTTTCGAATTGGCTACGAACTAGGGAGAGGTAAAGCGCCCGGCGAACGTTTCAGATCGAATGACAATATGGCCATCTCTTTCTGACCATACCAAGTTGTTGGCATGGCTTAGTATAAATTTCGTCGCACTGGACTATTCCAACTTAGCTGAGGAGTAACATCGACTCCAAGATCTTTTTCTAACTCTACATACACAAGAGGAGAGCCATCAGATTAATGCGAATGGAGGAGATAAAGATGGCTTTCCTGGAAACTATAAGCCACTTTACATTTGCTGGATGGAATCGCATTTTGTTTCTAAGTGCCAGTCAGAGAGATAGTTCCTATTTCCATTGTAAATTGGTATTTCAGAAGATGAATGTATTTAAGCGATTTTTGTATCATGGCATACAAAACAATATCTGTATTATCGAAGGCCAAGAGGACTATCATTGATATACATACAAAAGTAAGGGACAAGGATCGAGCCCTGGGGGACACCAGAATTAACTGAGAGGGTAGATGACATCTCATTATCAATAACCACTCTTTGGTAACGGCCTTTTGAAGGTAATTGAGTAAGAAATTTGAGAAGTGTACCATCAATGTTATATAAGGTCTTTAGCTTATGAAGATGGATTTCATGATTTACAAATTCATTGCTTAGCAAAATCATTAATACACAACATGGATTAGATTAATGTTTTCGTTTAAGAGACAATGCAAGGCTATCACAAAAGTCAACCTATTGGTTTGTGCATGACGTGTGCCTCTAGAAACAATGCTGCCTGGGATCAGAAGGTTACTTGTCAATGACGCAGTTTACGTTTAACAATGCGCTCAAAACTTTCATGACTCTAACAAGTAAGGGATATTGGTCTATAGTTTTCAACCTCACTTTTTCTTACCTTTCTTAGATATTGGGACAACAATTTGCAAGTTTCCATTCTTGTGGAAGTTAGCCATGTTGTAGGATCACGAAAAATGCATGTTAGAGGTGTATAGCTAAAACCCTCGGAACATTTTTTAGAATTTTACCGTGTATGCCATCTGTCCCTGGGCTTTATTTGAATTAATATTTGAAAGAAGCTTAGGGAGAAGAACATTTCTTATAAACCATGAGGAGATAATTACAAAGAAATGTTTGATGTGGAGCAAGCAAGAAATGGATATAGATAACGTGGGCTGTCATGGAGTATAGAGGAATGAATATTAGATTAGGGGGAATAAAGTGTTCTTGGGACCTAGTCGTGGTGAGAAGAATGGGAGAGAAAGTTCGTCATGATGAGAGAATAGAAGAGAAACATATGAGTATGATAATTGTAGTTGATGTGTGGGGGTTCTTTTGTACATGTATGGAGACTTTAAATGTGTGAATTTTGTTTAGGTATAAAACGTGTTGATATGTAATTAAAATTAAATTATAGTGAATGGTTTTGCGATAACGGTGCGCTCTTTCAAACTAAAAGAGTAAAAGATTCTCTCAATGTTTTCATTTGACGTATAACTTTATATGTTTAATCCACATTTTCTGACACACTTAAAGGTTGAGTACACAGGTAAGCACTTGCACAGGTAAGCACGAGAGAAGAAGGGGTGAAGTTAGGGAAACACCTGGTAGAGTACAGAGTTATCTAGCACATTGACGAGAAATACCACTTTCTAGACGATCCCACTCGCATTTACAGGTTTGTTGTCTTGATAATTATCAGGCATTTTATTCTTTTCCACACCGGATAATATTTCCGATTACATAACTGAGTACCACTTGTCAGTGCCAGTGTCAGTGTTGCTATGCATGTGGTAACATAACATTATAAGGGTATGTTGCCTGGGAACCATACCATATAAGGTAATGTTGCTATGCATGTGGTAACACTATCATATAAGGTAATGTTGCTATGGTAACACTACCATATAAGGTAATCAGCTCTCACACGATCACAACACCGTGTTTACTCGTTAATCAACATAATGTAAAACATAAAGTCTAAAAAGGGGTTCGTGTTACAGTTTCTGCAGTGATAACCACGACTACCCGAGAACAGTGTCCCAGAGACAGATATGGGTCCAGGGTCTATCTATTATGAGGCAGTTTACCCAGGTTAGTCAGGCTCACACTCTGTTGATATCTCTTTTATGAGATTTGATTTGAGGCCTCTCAACTTCCCTAGTTGAGTGTGTCCGGTGTCCCACAACCAAGCTCATTCCCTAGAAGTCCTACATTATATATTATAATGAACCTGGACCAAAACCAAAACTTACCCAGGACATTGCTGGGGCCAAGAAACGCAGGACCAGTTGGATTAACTTCAACAAGGGAAGCCAAAGCAATCCCAATTTTAAAGGTACATTTCGTTTTTGTACGGTTTAAGAGTGCTGGTTATTCTACAAGTTCTTAATCAAGTTTAAGTATCGTGATTGTGTTACAGCTTGGATTCAAGTATGTATCTGAGTTGAAACACAGTTAATAAACTGCGGAGTGACTAGAATGCTATACAGAAAAAAAAGAATAATCCTACCAAACACTCCACCTACTGACCCTAACCGCCCTAACAACTCTCTATCTTTTCATCTCTCTCGAACCTTCCTCCCCTCACTCCTTATGGTGCAACCATAATAATGATCGATAAATTTACAGGAAAACATTTACTGGAATGGCTTGAAAATAACACGGACTTTGAGAGCCGTGAAGATTGTCGGCGATTTCTTAAATCTCTTCTGAAGCTCAATTTTCTGAGGTGCAACCAAAATGATTTGCGGTTCGACCCGGTGAGAAATTTTTGACAAGATTTTCAAAATTAGCGGTTAATATATTACCTACAAAACTATACGAATATTACTAAATTTAAAATGAGGATTTTGTGCCCTATTTAACATGAAGTACAGTCTTCCTCTAACTCTGATAATTGCTCTGATTTGGAAACGTTGTGTGTCTCATTAACTCTAGCTCATTAATTAACATTAATTAACATGCAGCGGGATAATATATAAATATACGTGCGGTAATACCATTCATAAAATCCATGTCCATTATACTATAATATTTACTGTAGGTTTAAAAAAGGACCTTTTGATATGAGTATCAATGATTAACAAAAACCGTTTTTTTCAGTCAAGTGAATACTGGTTCTACCTAACCCGACTGAAGGAAGATGTGTCCAAGACGAGAAAGATCTCGAAGACGCTGATGCCTGAGGGAAGAAAACAATCAGTTCAGGAGAAAACCTTGACGAGGAAACAATCAATAATAGGGCTTACTCCTGATCTTATAGAGCAGCTCACTTCATTTCAATCCAGTAAGTTTATCCGTAGCCTCTTAATACGAAAAATGATCAAACAAATTTGGTATCAGGTGGAAAATAATACCGTAAGTTATTACGTGTGCTACTGTTTATCTGACACTCCCCGTCTTACCACAGGTACAGGAAGTGGAGCAGTCCCCCGAGTGGACCGTATCAAGCTAAAAGACACCTGCGTGGTCCTCCGAAGCTCACTCAGTCGCACCAGTCTCAACATAAGTCGCACCAATCTCTCAGTCAGCCAGTCAAGTCTAACACAATCCAGCGTCAGTTTGTCACAGAGTGCCAGTTTGTCACAGAGTGCCAGTTTGTCACAGATCAGGTGTCAGTCCTCATCAGCACTACCTACCAACTACCTTACTCAGAGCACCACGAGTCTCCCAGCTGAAGTAAGGGCAGATGGAGGAGGGTGTGGGGAGAGGGCTTCGTTTTGTGGTGAGCTTACTTTTCCTTTTAACATCCACACTCTTCTACGATCTAGATTATTCTTAATTTTACCAATTTTCACACATGGACTAGGACTGTAAATTGACGCCGAGAAGTTTCTCAAAACATCTCATATTTACAACTTCCGAAATAAGCTTCATAAATCACAGATTAAATGCGAGGTCGTAAATTTCTAAAATAGCATAATTCAACAGCCCAAATCCTGGCAACACTTGAAAACCGTGACCTTATTTTTACCAATTTTAAACCCATATTTTCGGAGATAATTTTAGAAGTGACCTCCCCTTCGAGCTAGTATTTAATAAGATAATAACAAAGTCTTCTCCGCAGATCAAGATAAGGAAAACAGAGAGCTCAATGCCCAGAGTTATATCACGAGACTCAAGGAGCAGTATTCTGCACACAGTCCTAGTAAGTGAAATATTGTGTACTTACTACTTAGTCTTACAATATTAGTGAAATATTGTGTACTTGCTACTTAGTCTTAACTAATATATATATGAATATTGTGTTACTTACTATTAAGTCTTCAATATTAAGTGAAAATATTGTGTACTTACTACTTAGGTCTTACAATATAAGTGAAATATGTTGTACTTACTACTAAGTCATACAATATAAGTGAAATATTGTGTACTTACTACTTAGTCATACAATATATTTTGTTTGGCCTTATACCTACTCAATTATTTTTTTGACAAAGTAAGGATGATCTTTTCCCAGCTGGCAGAAGTCAAGTTTATCAAATATCAACTTCTAGAATTTTATTAATCATTACAATTTTATTTCAGGGCAGAGATCGACCCAAAGTGAAAGTCAGAATGACCCGACAGTTTCAGATCTGATCGAGAGTCAGGATTTTCAGAAACGCCTTCAAAACATCGGAAAATCATCGTCCACGAAAAACCGTGAGTTAACCGCCTTAGCATCACGTGTCAGGTGGAAATTGAATGACTTCATGATATAAGTTTGCAATTTCACCGTGATTTCATACTAATTATCATCAGCTCCACCAATTTCATTCGAACAATTCCAAACTGAACAAAGAATTTCAAATTATGACACATTCTTATTTTTGGTTCTGCAATCTCCACAATTCTAAATCCATGCACCACGCTCATTAGTGACCGTTGGCTGATGTTGTGGTGATCTGTGACCCAATTCCTGAAAATCAGGAATAACCTGAGATTTGTGGAATATTGAAATAATCGACTCAGACCTGATGAATAATAAGCTCGGTACCATGACATTTAACCCTGCTACCAGGACATATAAACCCCTGTGTACCATGAATTTACCCTGTTACCATGACATTTAACCCTGTACCATGACATTTAACCCTGTACCATGACATTTAACCCCTGCAGTGAAGCATGGGGAAGAGCCAGAGAGGCGTATACTGTACCAGCTGACTGAGCGGAAGTTATGGTTAGAGTATTTACGAGGTGAATGTCTCATTCCAGGCTCTGTCCCAATAATCTGGACTCTCTGTTGAAGAGGGACTACTCTACTGAGTCCCATGCCACAAAATCCTCAGGTACTTACACTCAATTAGTATGTACTTATTCAATGAAATATTGCTAGTTTATTATTTGTGGGGGAACACTGTATACTTGATCTGTTTGAAGCTCGTAATTGGTAGGACTTGTTGTCAACCAATCGCCACTTAAACTGAGAAGTTTGAATCATTCGAGCAACTTAATTATAACGACAAAATATAAGTATCAATTACTTGTTATTTGTTATCGTGATCAACCGTACCGTTAAAAAGAAAGCAATTAACATGTGTTTGAAATTTCAAACTCACGTAATATAAATTAACTAATATGTAACATGTGTTTGACATTTCAAAAAACTCATGTAATATAAATTCTAATATGTAAACCTTGTAAATGTGTGTACTAAATGTATTGATTGAGTGTTACCCATGATTTCAGGATACAGTAGTATCAGAGGAAGGTGTTACTCCGTCACCTCACTCTCCTCCGAAAACCTGTCCGTCTCAGGCGGGGAGTCCGTCTCGTCATCACGTGACAGCATTTGTTCAACCCCTACCTCTCAGAACGGTCAACCAGTCAGTCATTCTGGTACGTTGGGATTGGAAGCGAGCCAGCCGCGGAGCACGGAGTCGCGCGACTCAGACACGAAATCAGTATCAGATAAGGGATCATGTTGTTCAGATAAGGGGTCATGTGGTTCAGATAAGGAAGCAGGTGACCCGGTGCCGCCGCCACGTCGTAGTTTGGAAAGAGAACCCTTAAAAACAGAGTCAGATAACGAAATATCTGTGTCTCGTCTGATGTCGAGTGGAGCTATGAACATCCAAACAGCGCATAGTGCGCGTAGAGCGCGGCTTACCCGCACACGAGCTGTTAGTGACGGAGATGCGAAGACCACTTGAGTTTCGCGCGCTACTGCAAGACCACTCGCTACTGCAAGTGCAAGCGCGAGAGGGCTCTGGTTAGAAGACCACTTGAGTTATTGAAATAACTGGAACTTCAACAAAGACTTGAATAAGATATTCATATAGTGTTAGAGAATTAGCTAGCGAATAAGCTAGCTAGCGCGCTAGTGAATTAGCTAGCTGATAATGACAACTTATTGTTTTATTCTGACAATTAGAGACACGCAAGATAAGCAGAACTTTAATTTTTGAAGAATTTGTAACTTTTATATGAAAGATGATTAATTGTGCTACATTTAAATTAAATGCTTTGATTAACATGAAGATTGATATGTAAATTAATATGTAAATTATTAGACTCGAATCACCACTGTGTGGCAACTTTCCTTGATAATGATAAACTAATATTTAAATTGAATTTGATTGACTTTTATAATAATGACTGATTATAATACTTAACTAACGATAGTTTGTAAATGCAAAATAGCAACATATTTTACCCAGATCATATTTTATACGTTAAGAATAATTCTTTTGATGGCTCTGGAAGTTATCACAGTAATTTTAATTTGACTTGATTTTATTTAACTGATGATTAATTAATGATTATTGATTAATACTTTAATAAATTCGTCTATCACTGACTTAAACGCAAACAAACAATTAACCTATTTCACATTGAAATATACCCAGATACCAACACAATGCAGCGTATTAATAACAGTAAAATGTTTATAAGACGAAAAGTGGCGTTGCGTTAGTTTTTAACATTAATTTAAATTAGTCAACTCCATTTTTTCAAAATCAAAATATTTGTGGAAATTTTAGGAATGATGTAAAATTGCAGTCTCATCTTCTCATAAACACAAAATCGGAATTTCCATTTCCAACCAGAAAACCTTAATTTACCTTTGTAACAGGGGGGAGGGGACCCCTTTGGCCTTTCTGCATCAGAACCATCAGAACCAGAGAAACCATATTAAGATTCTTTTAGTACCAGTGGCAGTAAAACCCCGATATGCTGCAAACCCAGATTTACTGCAAACTCTGATTTGCCGCGGCAATTTCCTTGCCCCAAATAAGGGATTAACATACATAATGCAAACAATAACAACCCCAATTTACCTTTTCCCTTTCTCCCAAACTCCGCTGTATAACTCAAAGTGTTACTGTTACTGTACTAGTAGAGCTGGAGATGATGAAGATATAGGGGTATGCAGCAGGGACAAAAGGATTTCGCGATTTTTTGGCCAAAAATCGCGTTTACCGCGCAGAAATTTAACAGGCTATACATTAAAAATATACATAACATTTGGCGCAAAATAATGGGAAAAGATAAAATCGCGAATTTTCGTACATGCGCGATTTCCTTTTTGTCCCTGGTATGCCAACAATCACAGAACACGAAGCAGTCATAATTCCAACTTCAATTAATTTCTAGTTTATGAATACAATTGATGCAAATACTTGTGTGCGAATGGATTGTACTTGCAACCATGGTTTCATTGTGGCACTACCTAGCGATACATAAGCCATGTACACTTATTGTTGTTTTAAGTTGTATCGGCACATTTGGACGTTTGTTTTTTAATGAAGTTTGCTTACATCGGTAGTACTAATAGAGTAATAGCGATGATTTACATGATTTGATTATGTTTATTCGCGCAAACCAAGCTGCATTTTTTGGCTGAAATTTTGATCCTTAGTTTTTTGTATATTTTATATATTTTGCATAATTTTGAAACCGTTTTGAAATCGTTCAAAAGTGATCATGTAACCTGAAACCAAGCTTGTTCAGACAGAAGTGGTATTTGTACAACAACACCCATTATACCAAAAGAAGGCTATGACAGTCGATAAAGACGTTGGTGTTAAAGATAGGAAGGAGGTCCAGCTCATAAGGAATGATGTGACTGGAAGGTACTGATTATCCACTGGTCATACGTCATACGTCATACGTCATACGTCATACGCCATACGTCATACGTCATACGTCATACGTCATACGTCATACGTCATACGTCATTCGTCATACGTCATACGTCATACGTCAAACGTCACACGCCATACGTCATACGTCATACGTACGTATGACAAGTACGGTCCTAATCTTAGTGATTCTAACTTTCTAAGTACTGAGCATGACCATGGTTACTGAGCTGGTTACCATGGTAACCAGCTCAGTAACCATGGTAACCAGCCCTCCTTCAGCACTGACCAGGTGCCGGGCAGAAATAAAGCTGCCTCGTAATCTTGCTGCTTCTAATTTGGCTTGCTCAAAGTTTTGTAAACCTTCACATTGCATGCACCTCATAATTACGTTAGTTTAGGACTGATTTCCATTTTGAATTTTAACTTTGTAGGTGGGAAGACTTTCGTGATTTAGTTGAAAGCCGGCGAAGAGAACTAGAGGAACTTAGACTGGTTAAGTTTATCCTTGACGAGAAACTGACGGAAGTAGAATGTCAGCTCCACGACTTTAAGACGGTGAGGAAAATACAATTTCACCATCGCAAGTATTAATTTACTTCCCAGCGGTGAGCTATCGCTTCCCCTCTTACCGTTAAACTTATCATTATAACTGGAATTTTATTAGAGGAAAGCTCCTTTATTTTTACTTTCCTTTGTTATATTCGTGTACAAAAAGAAAATTTTCGAATCGTATAAAAAAATTGTGTAAACTGTGTTTAACTCCATTGCAGTGCGCCAGCTTTATCCTTCCCGAATTGCATCAATAATATTAATCGAAATTATGACTGTACAAAGGCAAAGTTGCTATTATCTCTTCCTAGTGTTTATGTATTTAATTTTAAGTGGACAAGTTCAAATACATACACAATACACAATATACATGATAAAAAAGATTATTCAGTTCAATCAATTAGTATTGCCACACCACGTGATACTATAACTACTACTAGGTCGGAATTAAATCCGATCTACGCCAGATAACACCCTCCATATATCCTTGTCCCGCAACAGGGTTTGCAGTTCTCTTTGTCTCGGTCCATTGATAACCAGCTCAGTAACCATGGTACCTTGCTCATGCTATGCTCTACCAAGCACGTGATGTATAAGGAGCTAATACACATACTGTTTAAGATATTGACGGGGGAAGATGACACTGACACCAGCAACATCATGAGCCGACTAGAGCGTCACAACAGAGTGAAGGGAGATATTGAGAAGGTTGCAGATAATGTGAGAGAGATAATATTGTCAGTAACGGTATACAGGACCAGTACCAGACCTCAGTGGCGTCAGGTTATCACACTAACACTCATTTCAAACACTAGGAAATATTTTGTTAACATGAACTTATTTTACCTCTTATCTCTTATCTTTTAACTCTTTCTCTTATGTAGTTATAAGTTTGACGATCATGTCACTGAACAATACTGCGACTGTTTTGAATAAATCAGCTGTTTCACCAGGTATTTACAAAGGTAGAAGAGGTTGAGGACATACTGATTATAGTGATTGGACTGGAGCAGAGTAAAGGTGTTAAGCTTAAAGCTCTGAAGGAAAGCGTCACTTTCCTCCGTGATATAAAGTACATCGACAGGTTTGATACAATTTTTATTATTGTAATAACTTGTGTTTAATACGTATACTGCACGTTTTTGAAAATATTACACTATAACAGGATAATTAATGATAAAATCAAAATCTAATGGCAATTCTGTAATGTTAAGGACTCATCATAAAAGGTTGCAATAAAATGACAGACAGAAATTAGGACTAGCTAATTGAACACGTGTTTAGGTGGCTACGGGAACATGAAGAAGAACTGTTAGCAACAGAAACAGGAGAGGATCTAGACCAGAATGAGGAGTTGATACATGAGTTTGAGAAGCTGATGGAGGAGTTCCGGGTCATCAGGGACAAGCTAGACTTCGTGATCGTGTATTCAGGACAACAATTCAACCCCGAAGATTAAGAAGAACTTGAAAGATCTTAAGGGAAGGTTTGATGCAATGGATGCGGCTATTAAAAAGAGAAATTCTGCGTTGAGGTTTGCGGGAATCTTGCACAAGTTCAATGCAGATGCACATTACATTTTACTGTGGATCAAGGAAAAGGAGGGGATGGTAAAGGATAAGAACGTAGGGAGTGATCTCCATTCCTCAAAAAAACTCCTTAAACCTGTCGAGAACTTAGAACAAGAAATGTCTGAAATGGAGGATAGATTAAAGCAATTGCAAGAATTCTATGACACAATAAAGCTAAATTATCCGAAGCAGTCACCAAAAGCCGCGGAGACTTTAGGAATGATCACTAAACTTTGGCCAGAGTTTTGTAAGAATCATAGCATGAGACTTGATGCTCTTGAGCAAGCTGTGGAGACGTTCAGATGCTTTTTGGACATTGAAGAAATAGAAGATGATTTGAGGAACCTTCACAATCAGGCAGATGACGATAGAGATGGTAAAACTGTCTGCAATTATCAGAACAGTTTGGGTGACTTGGAAATTCTTAAAGATAAGTTGCATCTAGTCAAGGATGACATTCTTGACTTGTCTTTAGCTGTACCAAAGCACCTTGACGTAAACCCCCAAATTGACAATTTAAACAAGAAAGCTAAAACTGTCGATGGGATAATAAAGCAGCAACTCAATAAAATAGAAATTGAGAACAAGCTCGCTACTCTCAGAAACCAAATCTCAAACACTAAAGCGTGGGTCGATCTTGAAAGGAAGAAAACTGAATCTCGCAGCCATAGGAGCCTGACTATGCCAAAGGATGCTGTTGAGAAAGAACTACAAGACAACGAATCAGTCCTGGATACTATCAATACAAAAGACGAAGCCCTGGTCTTGGTAGTAGGTGAGCTAATGGCGGCTCCTCCATCAGGGGACGAGAACTGTGTTCAAGACAAGGATTTGATGGAATTAGAACTTATCAAGAGGAGGTCAGACGAGATTTAAAATCAACTAAAGCAATGAAGAGAGACGATTCTGATAAACTGAACTGTGTTCTGGACTATCACCGTTACCTTGAAGACCAGGAGACGTTGGCAGGTTGGGTTGAAGCGAAAGATGCTGCAGTATTGGCTTTGCTAGATGATAGTCCATCCGAGGTCGATGAAAGTCTTTTGTCTGTTGATATTTGGGAGCAAGAAGTTGTCGCGAGGAAAGATAAATTCGATCAAACTGCAGAAGAAATTTCAGTGTACCTTGATGCTTCAAAACTGCCCATTGTAAGTCGAAGAAACCGACTAGAACTGCTCGTCGATGAAAACAGGAGAAATCTTGATCAGCTATTACTTTTTCTTCGCAACAAAAAAGAGTTTTTACTTCATCAGGAAAAAATACTAAAACTAGACAACTCGCAGCGGATCTAAAAAACTGGTTAAACGAAAAAAAGTCAGTCCAAATCGATAATATTGCTATTTCTCCTGAACTGATCCATTTGCAATCCTGTAGTAAAGCACTACGTGAAATTGGCACTCTTCTTAAACCACAGATAAGTAAACTTGAAAACGTGGTGTCAGATATAGACAATCTTAATGTACCCTCAGAAATGGAAGAAGAGTTCACCAACTTGCTGTCAAAATACGTCCAACTGGAAAGAAAACATAAAGCAAAAAGTGACAGTATATCATCGTGGGAAAATGCCTTGACGGTCAAGAAAAAGTTAGAAGGAGTGGAAGATTGGATGAAGGACCATGAGCATAGCATGCTTTGTGGCTATGTGGGGTCAGACTCCAACGAAGCTGAACGGCTCTTGAATAGACACAACACTTTGGAGGAAGATCTTGAAGTTCAAAAAGAAGATATTGCGAAGTCCATGCAAATATTTGAAGGAATTCCTGATAAGATGAAAGTAAAAGCTCTCCCGAATTTTCAGGAGTTTCAAAGCAGATGGAAAGACTTTCTAGATTTAATGGCCTCAAGGAAAGATGACATCAATGACAGTGTAACTGTTCATGGACTTATTACCGAAGGGAGAGAGTTGAAAAGGACTGGAATTGAAAAACTTCAATTCTTGCTGTCTGTCGGAAAGGAGCAAACCCTGGATGCTGTCCAAAAGACAAAAAAGAAAATCGACGTGATTAATGATTTTAACAAGAACCTTCACGAATTTCTAGGGACAGCAGATCAGCAGATCAAGGATATCAACGGTCAAATTATAATTTGTGACCAAGACATGGCTTTACAATTCGTTCTCACGTTACCATACAAAACTCAAAAATTAGGGCAACAAACTATCGAAATTCCTCGAGGAACAAAGTTAGTCCTCCTTAATGCGAGTCTGGACCCAAGATGGTTATTAAATTACACTCAACCTGGTTATGATGAAGCTGAAGAGTTCTCTCCTGACAACATAGTAAGAACCGCTGAGGTGGAGGAGTACAGAGCCAAATTCATATTAGAAAGAATGTTGACTGAATTGGGAGACCTTTACGTGAAATTGAAGGAGATCTTAAGGAAGACAGAAGATCTTCTCGGAAAACTTTATAATAGTTTGCTTCTGGGAAAGAGCACTGAGGATGAGTTGGAATGGATTTGTAACGTTGAGAAGTGGGTTAAAAGTGAACGCCCAGTGTTGCAAACAAAGTCAGACTTTGATTTGAAGGTGGTCATTGGACTTTGTGATGATTTTATCACCGACGGAGAAAAACGTGAGAGTCTTCTTGGGAATATCGAAAATGAGATCATAACTTCCCAATCAAATCCTAGGCATGATCCAGAGTTTAAAAAGGTAAAGAATATTCTAGACCACCTTCGCGGCAGGTACCACCACTTGGCTACCCTGTTGTACCAGCTCAAGATGACAGCACAGGATCTGCTTAAGTTCTTTGATGTCGGTGAGAGGTTACATGACATCAGGAAAAGTATCAGGGCTATCATAACGATGATAAGTCAATTGAGGCTATCTGCAAAGGGGATTTCTCGATATATTATTGGTCTGTTGAACTGGATTAACGGTGAACATTCTGACCACCTCCGCTCCATCTATGAAATCTACGCAAATGATATACCTAAAGCATTAAATACTGAAATTAACGACAGTAAAAAGGACTTGGACAAGCTAAACGATGCCATTGATAACTTCAACGACAGATGCGATGGCCTCCAAACAGTAGATGAATACATAAAACGAGCAAATAAGCTAAACCAGAAAATAGCTGATCTGAATGAGGACCTGAATGGAATTATTGAACCTCTAAAACTCGAAGTTGAAGATCTTCCCCCAGGTTGGGATCCCGAGGAGGCAGAGCTCATGATTGAAGTGGCCGAAGAAGAAGTTGCAGAAGTTCGCAGCGATAAACAAGCTCATTTAGATCCTCACATGACGCAATTTGTTTTCGATGGTATCGATCTAATCGGCAGTGACCATCTGGAAAAATCAAAAGTAAAATGGGCCTGTGAAGATGTCCAAGACAATTTTGAAAACTTAGAGAAAAGGATGAAAGGAATTAAACTTTCCATTGATAGATCAAAAGAAGGCACATCCCGTGAGCCAGATGAGGTGAATGTGTATGTGAAGTATTTATCAGACGTGCTCTACAACCCTCTTCTGCAACGGAATGCAGATCACACAGACGAGGATCTAAAGAGAGGCAGCCTAATCTTGGAGAAAGGGGAATCTGCAATTGAGAAGCTGCGGGAGGCTGCAAGGAGGGCTGACAACGAGGGGAAGCCCGTGGATATGTTCAGAGATAGAATAAATCAGTTGATTGATGATTATGGGAGGGTGCAGGCAGAAATGAATAAAAAGTTACAAAACAATGAGTTTAAGATCGCTGCCAACAATTTCAAGGAATGGTGTGACCAGACGCATAAAGAAATCTCTGATTCGGTCGACAAGAAGCACATGGAAAGTCTTACCCATTCCAAGAAAGTCGCTGATCTGAACATAGAAACGAGAATGCCAGAATACAAAGCGATTTTGGCAACTGGGAAGTTCTTGTCCTTTAACTCAGACAGCGAAGACCCAGAATTCATTCATATAATTGTTCGATTACTGGAAGAGCTCAAGGAGGCGTGGGAACGACTGGAAGACCTAAGAGATTTTCTGACGAACCTCTGGGAAGGTAAAAAGTTACACAGATTTATCAAATCAGAGGTATTTGATATTGAGCTGTGGATAAAGCAAACAAAAGGTAGGATTAACTCTGACAAATGGGAGCTAGATGTCAACCAGATAAAATCTAATAAAATGGATCAAGCAGATTTTCTGCTCCAGATGGACGCAAATGATAAAAAGATCGGTTACATCCAGGAGGGTTTAGAAAAGTTGACTTTTTTAAACTTTGGGATAACAGAAAAGTTCAAAGCTAGGTTGAACCAGCTGGGCACAAACCTTGCTGAACTGCAGGAGCTGCTAGATGATCGTCAGGACATTCTTAATACATGGGGAGAGGTCATTAATCTCATTCCAATACTTGCATATGAGAAATCATGGATTGAGGAACAGTTGATTCGGATGGATATAGACTGGTTACCAAAGTCATACACAGACACTGCTTTCAAAGTTAAGAAGTTAGGGAAGCTTAAAAGTGATCTTAAGAACAGGGGAATGAACGGTGTTCCTAAGAACATCCCTCTGACACTTGAAAAAATTAAATTAGAAATTGAAGAAATTGAGGATTTGTGGGGGGAGCTTATGGAGAAAATCAACAAAGCAAACATACTGGTCACGAAATATGCAGAGTTCTTCAAGTGGAAGACTTCTTGTGTAGTTTTTGTAGATCAGGTCAGCCAGCTTTTGTCGGAAGTGGATCCAAACATTGAAGAAAACTCTGTTCCTTCTCTAACCTCAAAACAAAAGCAGATGAACTTATTAGTGGTAGCAGCAAAAGAGTTTGGAGCTCAATATGATAAGATAATGGAAGATAAAGAAAAACTCACTGAAAATGAAGAATCAGTCGAGGAGGAAATCCAGTCCAACTCTGTCAAGGTCACGGACGTCTACGAAACTTTAAGGTCGGAAATCGGAGAAAACAAGGGTCTTGTTGACAGTTTACTAGAACGAGCAAGAGTAGTTAGGCGGATCGAAGAAAATATCTTGTATGATTCCACAATCCTGAAGAAAATTCTAGTCATTGATCGGTGCCGTGATTTGAGTATGGCTTCACTAAGACTCAAACAAATACGCCCTCTCGACGAAAAGATAAAAGCCTCTTCTGTAACCATAAATAAGTTATTTCATGATGTAGAAGCAATCCAGGCCAGAGACCCGGCAGTTCTTGAAGAAGTCATCCCACTGAGCCATTCCCTCCAGAGAGCCTTGGACTACCACAACCAGCTACGGAACCAAGGACAGCTGACCCTTAACCAGATAAACACGAATATGGACGTCTATGAGAACCAGTTGGATGTAATGTTCTTGCAGTACAGTAATCTAGCTGGTCAGCTGACCAGATGGATTGAGGATGTGGAAGAGTACTGCACTGACGGAGTCTTTTCCAACAGGTTTAGTTGTTTTCCTAATTACTTTATTGTTGTTGATGGTTGTTTGCTGGGGTGGATGATGCCGATATTCACACTTAATTACCATTCGATAACCTGCAATTCTCACTTAGTCTGAAGGAGGCGAAGGAGTTGAAAACTCCTTTGAAGGACATACATGAGGAGTTGAGTGACAAAAGCGGAGTCTACAAGGAACTGAGGGAGATGGACAAAAACATTAGGTCTCATTTCTTTGCACGTTTTATTTTCTGTTTCGTTTTTTTGAAGATTCATTCTTGTATAATTGTTAAGCCAAGAGTGTTAAGGCTCCCCCTGACCAATTTACGTTTAATTCGATTAATCCGAACATTAGGTGTCAGTTGTCACGGACTAATTTACGTTTAATCCGTTTAATCCGAACATTAGTCCGTTTAATCCGAACATTAGTCTGTTTAATCCGAACATTAGGTGTCACGGACTGTACCAAAACCCTTACACCTGGATTACCTTCCCTGAGATCGACATGCTGTGGAAAAACATTCAAAACCGGTTAGAATTCATATTTTACAAATAACTTATACCTTGTCCTGACATCGAAGTTCATCAGCTATCAACCAAATGTAGCTACTGCATTTGAACTCTTTCCACCCGATAGGATCCGGGAACACGGATACGCACTCTCGAACGACCTCCACCGACAAGAAACACTTGACAGAAACGAAAGAACCTACGCTGATTACACAAACCAAATCCACGATCAAATATCTCACCTCCGAGACGACTGCATGAACCTTATTGGTATCGCACCCTAGAAGAAATATATTTTTACTTTACGTTGCCCTTATACTTGTCTATCAAATTCATATTTTGAATTCTTTTTTAAGAATGGAGCTCAATTTTTGCTCGTTCAAACTGAATTAACAAACAATTGTTTGAACTAAAGCTTTTATTACAGAGGGGTACCCCGAAGAGAAGCTAGGGTTCCTGAAGAAAAGGCAAACAGAACTGAGAAAAGTTAAGGAACATCTTCGTATACTGGAGCTTAAACTTGGTAATAAACACTGTTTTTGTAGTCTAATGCCGACTGTTGGGGTTGAAACAATTGATGATATTAAAGACCCTAGCAAGAGGTTCTAGAGGGTCTAGAGGGTCTAGAGGGTCTAGAGGGTCTAGAGGGTCTAGAGGGTCTAGAGGGTCTAGAGGGTCTAGAGGGTCTAGAGGGTCTAGAGGGTCTAGAGGGTCTAGAGGGTCTAGAGGGTCTAGAGGGTCTAGAGGGTCTAGAGGGTCTAGAGGGTCTAGAGGGTCTAGAGTGTTTTATGTTATCACTCAGACAGAGCCTATTCCAACCAAGGTTCAGATTTGGACGCGATGCAGAAGAACAACTACACAGAACACAGTATTCACAGCCTGGAACAGGATCTGATGTCTGTGGAACATTTGGTCAGAACACTGAAACAGCGGGTCCAGCAGGAGCTAGACCTCATGGATACTGCAGGTAACATGCGCCTCATGGATACCGCAGGTAACCATGGCTACTGCGGGTAACCATGGATACTGCAGGTAACCATGGATACTGCAGGTAACCATGGATGCTGCAGGTAACCATGGATACTGCAGGTAACCATGGATGCTGCAGGTAACCATGGATGCTGCAGGTAACCATGGATACTGCAGGTAACCATGGATGCTGCAGGTAACCATGGATGCTGCGGGTAACCATGGCTACTGCGGGTAACCATGGATACTGCAGGTAACCATGGATGCTGCAGGTAACCATGGATGCTGCAGGTAACCATGGATGCTGCAGGTAACCATGGATGCTGCAGGTAACCATGGATGCTGCAGGTAACCATGGATGCTGCAGGTAACCATGGATGCTGCAGGTAACCATGGATACTGCAGGTAACCATGGATGCTGGCTGCTGCAGGTAACCATGGATGCTGCAGGTAACCATGGATACTGCAGGTAACCATGGATACTGCAGGTAACCATGGATACTGCAGGTAACATGCACCTCATGGATACCGCAGTAAAGATTTTGCATTCATTGGCATAGGGCTATGCAGTAACCAATGTCATTTCAGCCTTCCTGCAAATTTTCAGCGCTGATGTTAGCTTAAAACTTGTTCGATGCACAGAAATGTTGATATCATACCATTACCAAAAAAGCGAAAACACAGCTACCAGAGTACATGGTTAATTTAATGGTTAATTAACAACATGCTACTCATTCCAGCTTTTTAAAACTTTTAATATCACTGTCTGCAGATATCACGCAAGAGGAAATGCAGGAGATTCGTTCATCTTTCTTCAAGTTTGACGAGGATAAGTCTCAGCGACTTGAATACACGGAGTTCAAACGGTGCCTCAGAATATTAGGATTCGACGTGGGACCTGAGGAGGGAGTGAATGATGTAAAGTTCCAATCTATCCTCGACATTATAGACCTTGACAGGTTGGAATATTCCTTACTTATCTTACTGATAACTGATTTTGCCGCGATATATCGTTGAACAAGAGGAAACTGATTTAACATTTTTCATTGGATTAACAGGTGAACTCTCTCCAACTTTCCTGATAAGTATATTGAGATTCGTGTAAGATTAGTGGAGGTGTGATTTACACTCATAAAGTCATAATATTCACGTTAAGTATTCATGTGTTGAGCTGTTTAGCCCGGGAATGCTAACTAGTAGTGTAACCATGGTAACCCCAGGTCAGGATTCATTTCGATAGACGAGTATGTTCAGTTCATGGTGATGTCAGCCAGAAAGAGTACAATCGCTTCAAAATCTGAACTAATTAACTCGTTCAAGTTGATGACGACGACAGGGGGCAGAGATTACATTCTCCCGAGAGAGCTCAGAGACCACCTTTCAGCTCAGGCAAGTGTAACAACAGTATTTACACATTTACAGCATGCACAGATATACTTTTTATTTGAAAATTCAATTAATTATTATATACATAAATTAACCGTTTATACATTTCATCCATGCAAAATTACAATGAAATTATTTTGATGTATTATTACAATGAAACTATTTTTATACATTATTACTTATGGAAAATTGGTACTGCAATATAAATTGCATACTGTGTGGCCGGATGAAAACTAACTAAACTAGAAAAATAAAATTAGTTGGTAGACGAATCAGTTCTGCTCGCAGTGCATTAACGTGTAAAACCGAAAGTTAGTTAAACCCTTATAACTAATAAATAATTAAATTGCTCTTATCCTACCTCTTAATCTTAACTTATTCCAGAACGTATTGTTCTAAGTTTTACTAAAGTGTTTGTTAACTGAAATATAATTTCAGGACGCCCAGTTCTGTATAAAAAAGATTCCACGTTACAGTGGTAATAAAGCCCCATATGAAGCTCTTGATTATTTAGCTTTCTGTAGTGCTTTATTTGATAAAGGAGCAATATTTGAGGGTTAAACTTTATTATTCGGGTATTTTAGAGACATGAGCATGATACGCGTGAATATTGCTCGTTCGTTTGTAAATATTAGTGAATTTAAGCAGTTTCTTTTTATCAAGTAGCTGTTATCATGTATAATTATTAATATTATTAGTTAAAATGTAATTAAATGATTTAACCCTCATTCTGAATGTATGATTTTAATTCTTTAAACCAACAAAAGACATTCATCAAAACAAAACAAAAAACTACTAGACATAAAGTGTAATTGAACCACATTACTAATACATTTTTGGTTATTTTAACTTTATAAATAACCAATCCACTGTCAAAGTATAAAACACAAAAATGTCAATTCCAGCTTTTCTCATGGCCAAGTGACACCAAGCTCAGTAAGTATTAAGTATATCTATTCATGACGATACTGGAAACTTCTGGGGTTTACAAGTTATAGTAGGGCCTGTCGTGATATCATGGATCGCTTAGGTTCCACCAGGATCTGTTAATCCTCATAATTCTGCGACCTCTATGTATCGTCATCTCGCACAACTCTTTAAGAATCTTGTGAATTTGGCATGTGAAAATTTGCAGCCTTTCAGACATTGATTGGGTCAACGAGGTGCCGTACGTCACCTCAAGATCGGGTGACAGGGGGCTGATCAGGCCAGAACCCAATTGATTGGGTATAAGGTCACGTGATTATGAACCTGAGGTCACGTGGCTGTGACGTCACCAGAGCTTGCTCTCCGAACTCGAATTACTCGATCAGGCCTTATATGAAATAATATAGTGTATCGCGTGTAATTGGATCCAATTATAGGAGCTGCGCAATCACTGCTGCATATTGATCAGGTATCACCTTCTGAACCCAGCAGAAATCCGTATTCGTTAATCTTAAGCAAATATTTGGATAAATTTCTTTCGTCTTCTGAAATTGAGATCTTTCCTTCATAAGCCCGATTATTAGCTGAGAACAAGTGACGTCGTTGCTTACAATTACTGAGATTCGGCAGAGAGACTGGTGCCACCCGATAAGCCGCTTAGCTTATAATAATATTTATGATATTCAAATGCAATTTTAAAGCAATTTGCCCTGAAGTATGATAATTATAACCAGTTTTATCGTGTTCAGCGTCCTCAAAAACATAGGACGCTGAACAAATAATCCTTCTATTTTCAAATCTCTTATCTGGCCCAGCTCCATGCTGGGTTTCAGAAGGTAATAATAATTGCGCAGCTCCTATAATTGGATCCAATTACACGCGATACACTATATTATTTCATATAAGGCATGATCAAGTAGCTTGAGACGTTATACTTTATAGCCACGTGACCTCACGATGGCACCTGATACAATACAATATTGTACAATGTACCGGTTACTGCAGTGCTGGTTACCGTGTCAGTTACTGTACTGTTAGTGGTTACCACAAATAAATTGAAAACAATTTGATCAAAACCCATAGTTGGGTAGAGTGGACCGCTGCCAGTGTCTCTCTTTCCCAAACAAAACGAAATGGTATCAATTTGAATAATCAAATGCAAAATAATACCGAGAATGAAATCGGTCGCTCGCTTTTCCCATTCATTTACCCATGAGTATGGGTTTTGGTCAAATACCCAATCGATTTCTTGGGACAATTAACAGTCAAATGTCGTAACGCAATTTATTTAATTTCATTTTAAATTGTTGACACTGAGTTTACTGTTTTATTAGAAATTTCTTTGAAAGAATCATCAGTAGTTGGAATTGTAGTACGTTTCTTTATCAAGTAGATCAGAGCAGTTGGAACTGTTGGACTTTGTGTTACCTGGACAATAAGATTTAATCACAGTTATTTTGTGAACTAACACTATTATATATATATATATATATATAGCATATGGACAGTTTATTCTAAAAATGACTAGTGACCTATGTTTATTTCTTTTTAGCTAATTATTATAACTATGAAGACACTCTCCTTCGAATTTTTAAAACTTTAGAGCATCCATTTTGCCATGAAACCCACGATTTTAGATGCATGATTTTATTGACATTGTATCACATATTTTACAATTAATTTTATTGAAATTACTTCATGCTACGTAATTTACAGGTTTTATTCGGAATCAGCGTGAAAAATAATATACATTGGTAATTGGTATAGCTTACTTTCACAATCCTACAGCTTACTCATCACAGGAGGGCCAAAGTGCAAAGTAACTGCTGCTAACTGCTGCTAACTGCTGCTAACTGCTGCTAACTGCTGCTAACTGCTGCTAACTGCTGCTAACTGCTGCTAACTGCTGCTAACTGCTGCTAACTGCTGCTAACTGCTGCTAACTGCTGCTAACTGCTGCTAACTGCTGCTAACTGCAGCTGTCGCAGCAGTTAGCAGCAGTGAGCAGCAGTTAGCATGAGCAGTAGTTTGCAGCAGCTAACAGCAGTTACTTTGCACTTTGGCCGATCCTGAGCCTAACAACCCTAAAACTTATAACGTGACGCCTTCAGCGGGAGCACGCTACTGCAAGCGCGAGCCGCGAGGGCTCTATTTAGAGCAACCGAGGGATGTCTGTCCAAATTTATACTTATTAAACTAATCGTCCTATCTCACTTACAATCAGAAATCTACCATGTATTTTTGGGCCACTCCATGGTTGAATGATGGTGGTAATAAACTCTTAGCATGTTTCCTGATTACAGCTATAAGATCAGGTTGTCCTCTTCAGGTGCATGTTGAATTACAAGCCCCCTAACTTTAGTTAATTACAGCAGAAATCACAGCTGTGAAGCTATAACTAATTATTCTATGTGGGAGGGGGCATGCTGACCGATTAGATAAATCTCACGTGTATTAATTCAATCCGGGACGAGAAGCAGGTGCAGAATATACCAGACACAGAAGCCTTATATTTATATTAAGTTCTTAACTATTTGTTGGCGTTTTATAAATTCTTTAACTTTAGATTTCGTCCAGAAAGAGAATTTAGTTTTATTGGATAACACAACTAGCCTGTTGTAAAGATCAGTTATAAACGAGGTTGAGCTGGTTTATAAGCTTATAAGTGTAACTATGGTAACTAGGAGTGTAACTATGTTAACTGGGAGTGCAATCATGGTAACTGGGAGTGTAACTATGGTAACTGGGAGTGGAATTATGGTAACTGGGAGTGTAATCATGGTAACTGGGAGTGTAACTATGGTAAATGGGAGTGTAACTATGGTAACTGGGAGTGTAACTATGGTAACTGGGAGTTTGTGCCTTAACCGTGCCTTAACCGTGCGTTAACCGTGCGTTAACCGTGCCTTAAGAACCGTGCCTTATGTAACCCTTGTGCCTTAACCGTGCCTTAACCGTGCCTTAACCGTGCCTTAACTGTGCCTTAACTATGCCTTAACCGTGCGTTAACCGTGTTATGCCACACTACTGGATTGCCTAGTAAAGCTATCACATAGTAATTATAACCGAATGATCTGTATCATATCTTTAAAAGCGGAACAACTTACTTTCTTATTTTGTTGCGGTTGCTAAGAAGTTCATTATGTTCGTCAGGTGGAAGATTTGAAAGCAGAGCACCGTTTAAAATCAAATTATGGCACATCACAGTCTCACAGGGGACATGTTCAGTCTTCGGTAGTATACGTGACAGTGACTGTACTGGTTACCGTACCGGTCACTGTACCGGTTACTGCACCGGTTACTGTACCGGTTACCGTACCGGTTACCGTACCGGTTACCGAACTTATGACTTAGTGACAACAAGATCTCTTGCTCTCAACCTGATGCTACTGATTGTTACCTTGTTAAACACAACGTTATCAGTATCTTGTTACTGTTAAATAGCACAACATTATTAGCTTTGTTAGAATCACAGGTGTGCTGTTATCGTACTGGTTACCGTACTGGATACCGTACTGGTTACCGTACTGGTTACCGTACTGGTTACCGTACTGGTTACCGTACTGGTTACCGTACTGGTTACCGTACTGGTTACCGTACTGGTTACCGTACTGGTTACCGTACTGGTTACCGTACTGGTTACCGTACTGGTTACCGTACTGGTTACCGTACTGGTTACCGTACTGGTTACCGTACTGGTTACCGTACTGGTTACCGTACTGGTTACCGTACTGGTTACCGTACTGGTTACCGTACTGGTTACCGTACTGGTTACCGTACTGGTTACCGTACTGGTTACCGTACTGGTTACCGTACTGGTTACCGTACTGGTTACCGTACTGGTTACCGTACTGGTTACCGTACTGGTTACCGTACTGGTTACCGTACTGGTTACCGTACTGGTTACCGTACTGGTTACCGTACTGGTTACCGTACTGGTTACCGTACTGGTTACCGTACTGGTTACCGTACTGGTTACCGTACTGGTTACCGTACTGGTTACCGTACTGGTTACCGTACTGGTTACCGTACTGGTTACCGTACTGGTTACCGTACTGGTTACCGTACTGGTTACCGTACTGGTTACCGTACTGGTTACCGCGTACTGGTTACCGCGTACTGGTTACCGTACTGGTTACCGTACTGGTTACCGTACTGGTTACCGTACTGGTTACCGTACTGGTTACCGTACTGGTTACCGTACTGGTTACCGTACTGGTTACCGTACTGGTTACCGTACTGGTTACCGCGTACTGGTTACCGCGTACTGGTTACCGTACTGGTTACCGTACTGGTTACCGTACTGGTTACCGTACTGGTTACCGTACTGGTTACCGTACTGGTTACCGTACTGGTTACCGTACTGGTTACCGTACTGGTTACCGTACTGGTTACCGTACTGGTTACCGTACTGGTTACCGTACTGGTTACCGTACTGGTTACCGTACTGGTTACCGTACTGGTTACCGTACTGGTTACCGTACTGGCTACCGTACTGGTTACCGTACTGGCTACCGTACTGGTTACCGTACTGGTTACCGTACTGGTTACCGTACTGGTTACCGTACTGGTTACCGTACTGGCTACCGTACTGGCTACCGTACTGGTTACCGTACTGGTTACCGTACTGGTTACCGTACTGGTTACCGTACTGGTTACCGTACTGGTTACCGTACTGGTTACCGCGTACTGGTTACCGCGTACTGGTTACCGTACTGGTTACCGCGTACTGGTTACCGCGTACTGGTTACCGTACTGGTTACCGTACTGGTTACCGTACTGGTTACCGTACTGGTTACCGTACTGGTTACCGTACTGGTTACCGTACTGGTTACCGTACTGGTTACCGTACTGGTTACCGTACTGGTTACCGCGTACTGGTTACCGCGTACTGGTTACCGTACTGGTTACCGCGTACTGGTTACCGCGTACTGGTTACCGTGTCAGCTTGATCTTTGCATTTCCAGTTGATACCCTGACAGTGATATATATACGTAAGTTTCCAAGTTTGTATACGAATACGACTTTCTTATTTGCTTTTCAAAATTAAATAGAATAATTTAAAAAGCTTTTACAATTTCAAATAATTGATATTATTACAATCGTAGGGTTATGGCAGAGCAAAGGAATCGTCACTTAATCCTAGGTCCGAACTCGAAAGCTATAACTTCAGCAACAGTAGTGATTAATCTACTCGTAGGATCAACTGGGGTTTGCCTCAACACCATCGTAGCCTTATACTATCTCCAAAGACCAAACCGTGGGAAAACCGTGCCGTTTCTCTACACCATAATGTCCATCTGTAACATAATAACCTGCACTCTGGCAATTCTCCAAGCAACAGTCCTCATTCTAGACATGAATAGCGAGGACAACATTCTCTTTGACTACGAAAGCGAAAGTTTGATAGTCAGCGGATACGTGATCTACAGTATAGTCACCAGAGGGTCCATGCTCCACAACCTCGTCCTCTCCGTGGTCAGATCAATCAACATACAGAGACCGTTCCAGAGGATCAGCTGGCGCGTCATTCTCTCCGTCTTTGCGGTGTTTTACGCAGTGTGGCTGACTATAGGGACACTAGACGTGGTTCATCTGGGAGGGGAACACGGGAGTGAAATGAGTCCGATAAAGAGGAAAGCAGACATCCGGGAACTATTTCGTTTTCCTCAGCCAGGTCAGGGTACGTGCTTTTTCTTAAACACAAGAAGCAACATGACTCTTTGTAATACTGACACACACCCTGGTATTGATCAGGAGGTTACGTTCAGTTTGATGATGTTGTTCATGATCGTGCCGGCAGTGATCATGTTTGTAGCGTCTCTGCACCAGTGCTGGGTGATAACTAAAAAAGGACGGAAAAGATGCAAGGTAGCACAAGTACGTGACAGCACTAGTGCCAGGCTGACTGTAACCATCCTGATTCTCTCATCGCTATGTTTCATCACAAAGGGTGCTTACGAGACATTTTACTTCTCCGTGTACGTAGCACCAACATCTCAAAAACACAGATTCCAGGCTGTTCGCGGTGCTAAGGTTGTGACCTATTATTTTAGTACAGTGATACATGTAGTCCACGCAGTTCTGGAACCGCTGGTTTTCATTTCTCGGGGAGAGAAACTTAGGCACCATCTCCTGGCTCTAGTGCGACGACTTGAGAGTGCTAAGTCTAAATCTGCAGCGACAAGAGATCTGCAGTTAAAAGAATTATAGTAGGTAATAGGTTAAGTTACAGGTTGTGATGGACAGCGAATAAAGTAACATTTCCCTCAGAACTACATGATAGATTATATTTTCTCATCCGTTGACATTTCATCATGCAATGGTCCATGCCAATCGTTACAAAAGCGTAAGATCACAACTTTTTAAAATGTTTGGGATTGTTCAGTTATTATTTAAATCAAATTTTATTTATTTTAAACCCCTTGATCCTTCCATTTGATCACAAATGCTAAATATAGCGTTTATGGTTTTCATCATGGGTAATGAATGTATAAATACTTTGTCATACGTTGTATGACCCGCCGCGCACGAAGTGCGTGGCTCCCCCTGTATCGTCAAAGACGATAAAGTGAAGCGACAGTGGGGGTCACCGCGTGATACAATAAATACTTATACTATAATAATTATCTATATTGTTTGCTTACTGAGTTACTCAAATACATCCAACTTTGGATCGACATAATCAATTTGTTTACCATCGCCGAAGGTAGGCGGTGCACGATAAAAATAAACTTGCTCGGATTTTCAAAATTTTGGTACCATCGTTTTCTAGAGACTGTGAGAATTTTCACAGTACCAAATTTATTATACCTTTTTGGAATGATCAGTGAGTTTCGCCTAGGTGCCATATTTGATGGTGCGCGGCTTTTGGAGCAAAATTAGGTGTAAAAGTCGCATAATTTGACGAAATTCGTTGATTTTTGTTGTATTATTCTGTCATATCTTCGGTTCCTGAACATGAATCATGCTGAAAATTTGTCAGATCCTTCCAATCATACTTAACTACCGAACCTAATTTAGTTGGGAGAGATTGGCCTTGATTAAGAGGTCTAAAAATGACAAAATAGGTATAAATTCGTTGATAACTCAAATTCTGAGCATCGAAATTGCTCAAACTAAATTAGGTTCAGTAGAACATAAATGTTTACGTAAGCTGACCAAATTTCAACAAAATTGTTATATGGGAAGTATTATAACTTTTCGATTGTTTCCAAAATAATGTGCTGGCCGAAATAAGAGCTAAAAAACCATTCAATGGTCAGCGCGCGCGTCTTATTGTCGATGGCGCACTGCCTACCGAAGGCAAAAACATCGCAGGGAATATGTAATTAGCTGTGGATATATGAAGTGGCCCAACCGCGCTACGATAAGGACACAAGTCTGCTCCTTCAAAATATAGACCACTCCCCTTATTTGTATGTAAAGGAGGCGTCTGTATTGCTGTGCAACTTGCAAGTCATGTGTTAATTAAACAAGAATTGCGCCCGTTGTTTCGTTTTGGCGGACGCTAGATTTCCATTCACTAGAATTATAAATATAGGCTCCAATCAGCTCAGTGCTCACTTGCACTTCATAATATTAATATTGATACACATCAGTACACTATACTACGCATGCCACGTACAAATTGGGCTTATTACCTAATATTATACATTACATAATACATAGTATACAATATACTATACATTAAAATACACTCGCGCCGCGCATTAATTGACAGGCTAGCTTTATACATCACATCTCCGCAAGCAATACTCGCGCGCTGCACTGCGCGCTAGTTGACATGGTTACTAACGGAAGTACGCACCGACGACATATTTAAACCCACCTACTTCGTTCTCCAAAATCCACGTTTTTCTGCAAAAACGTCCATTTGTAACCTTTTACTATTACCTTTTTACAAAAGGGTGAACGGAAAAAATCAACCACACCCGTAGTTGCTAACTTTGGCGCAATTTCTGGAATCATTTATTTTTTGGTGCGGGGCGCTAAAGTAGGGAAAATTGATCGTTCGTGATACTGGTATAATTGCGGCAACATTCTTGATTAGTACAGTGTTTTAAAAAACTGCATAATATTAATAAAGATAACTGAAAGGTCGTTAAACAAAATAGCAATAAAAGTAACTAAACTTAAAGAGAAAAATTATTTGCGGTTCATTTGTAAAAAGCTACAAACAGTATAATTGACTGAACTATGTCTTCAAAGCTACAATATGTATTGTGCGATGTATGTTATTTCAAAAGGAAAGTAACAACCCTCAATCAATGAGAGATAGTTATAAAAAACTAACGAGTATAAAACAAGTAAAAAATCTGTTGAAATTTAGTTATAAATAGTTCTTTACTACGATAGTTTAACTTTTATATATAGCCTTTCCCACCCTCTCTAGTTCTCAGGAGAAACACACCCCACTTTAAATACTGCCTCTCTCCGACCCTCTCTAGCTCCACACTCCACTTTATCCTCCCACTCACTGTCCATCCTCTCGACTCCACACAAATTAGCTATAGCTTGTCCACTGTAACACACGTTAGAGTAGCCTTTTAGAGGGTCCTCTCCATGACACGCGTCATACCTGCACAATCAAATGTTACTACCTGGTTACTAGGTTACTGCCTGGTTACTAGGTTACTACCTGGTTACTAGGTTACAACCTGGTTACCACTGTAACACACGTTAGAGTACCCCTTTAGAGGGTCCTCTCCGTGACACGCGTCATACCTGCACAATGGTTACTAGGTTATTACATGGTTACTAGGTTACTACCTGGTTACTAGGTTACTACCTGGTTACTAGGCTACTACCTGGTTACTAGGTTACTACCTGGTTACCCCTGTAACACACGTTAGAGTAGCCTTTTAGAGGGTCCTCTCCGTGACACGCGTCATACCTGCACAATCAAATGTTACTACCTGGTTACTAGGTTACTGTCTGGTTACTAGGTTACTACCTGGTTACTAGGTTACAACTTACCACTGTAACACACGTTAGAGTACCCCTTTAGAGGGTCCTCTCCGTGACACGCGTCATACCTGCACAATCAAATGTTACTACCTGGTTACTAGGTTACTGTCTGGTTACTAGGTTACTACCTGGTTACTAGGTTACAACCTAGTTACCACTGTAACACACGTTAGAGTACCCCTTTAGAGGGTCCTCTCCGTGACACGCGTCATACCTGCACAATCAAATGTTACTACCTGGTTACTAGGTTACTGTCTGGTTACTAGGTTACTACCTGGTTACTAGGTTACAACCTAGTTACCACTGTAACACACGTTAGAGTACCCCTTTAGAGGGTCCTCTCCGTGACACGCGTCATACCTGCACAATGGTTACTAGGTTATTACCTGGTTACTAGGTTACTGCCTGGTTACTAGGTTACTACCTGGTTACTAGGTTACTACCTGGTTACCACTGTAACACACGTTAGAGTACCCCTTTAGAGGGTCCTCTCTGTGACATGCGTCATACCTGCACAATCAATAATCACTTATTACTATTTCGTGTTCTAATTATTTTTTAAATCATACCTAGAAATTGTATTTATGACTCATTTCTTGTAAGATTTTTAAGTATTCATAATCTTTACTCATTCAAAATCATTTCTTTTATTTTTAGTACTATTACTGAATTTGGTTGAATAATATTCTTTTAAACTTCAGTTTTGATCTGATGCATGTATTAAATTGTAAAGATCTTTTTAATTTCTTTCTTACCTGCACGACTCGTAGTAAAACTTAAGTTCCTTAATGCCGACACACTTAGCAGAGAGGTTTAGTTTGAACAACTTCCTACACTCCCTCAGAGTCTGCAGCCGGAGGGGGTCTCGGGTGCAGGTGTTGGATACCTGTAATGTGGTTACTAGGTTACTACCTGGTTACTAGGTTATTACCTGGTTACTATGTTACTACATGGTTACTAGGTTACTACCTGGTTACTAGGTTACTACCTGGTTACTAGGTTACTATCTGGTTACTAGGTTACTACCTGGTTACTAGGTTACTACCTGGTTACTAGGTTACTACCTGGTTACTAGGTTATTACCTGGTTACTATGTTACTACATGGTTACTAGGTTATTACCTGGTTACTAGGTTACTACCTGGTTACTAGGTTACTACCTGGTTACTAGGTTACTACCTGGTTACTAGGTTACTACCTGGTTACTAGGTTACTACCTGGTTACTACTGTGCAGGTGTTGGATACCTGCAGTATAATTAGTGGTTACTAGGTTACTACCTGGTTACTAGGTTATTACCTGGTTACTATGTTACTACATGGTTACTACCTAGTTACTAGGTTACTACCTGGTTACTAGGTTACTACCTGGTTACTAGGTTACTACCTGGTTACTAGGTTATTACCTGGTTACTATGTTACTACATGGTTACTAGGTTATTACCTGGTTACTAGGTTACTACATGGTTACTAGGTTATTACCTGGTTACTAGGTTATTACCTGGTTACTAGGTTACTACCTGGTTACTAGGTTACTACCTGGTTACTATGTTACTACCTGGTTACTAGGTTACTACCTGGTTACTAGGTTACTACCTGGTTACTAGGTTACTACCTGGTTACTACCTAGTTACTAGGTTACTACCTGGTTACTAGGTTACTACCTGGTTACTAGGTTACTACCTGGTTACTACCTAGTTACTAGGTTACTACCTGGTTACTAAGTTACTACCTGGTTACTAGGTTACTACCTGGTTACTACTTGGTTATTAGCTGTGCAGGTGTTGGATACCAGTAGTGTAATGTGGTAAGCTGGTTACTAGGTTACTACCTTGTTACTAGGTTACTACCTGGTTACTAGGTTACTACCTGGTTATTAGGTGCAGGTGTTGGATACCTGTAGTGTAATGTGGTAAGCTGGTTACTGCAGTAGGGGATTAGCGTAGTAATCATTTCTTTAGGATCTTGTAGTTTAGATTATACTGAGTGAGTGCAGTGTGTAGTGTGAGAATACTTGTGAACAGGCAGATTTTATCACAGGTACGCCCTTGTAGGACTAGTCTGGTTGGCCGCCCCTGTTTTACACTACCTGCTTGTTGGCTAAACTCTTGATGATGCACCCAGAGTGTAGTGAGGTGTAGTGAGGTGTAGTGAGGTGTAGTGAGGTGTAGTGAGGTGTAGTGAGGTGTAGTGAGGTGTAGTGAGGTGTAGTGAGGTGTAGTGAGGTGTAGTGAGGTGTAGTGAAGGTGTTACCATGGTAACTAGGTTTGATCGTAGTCTGGTTGGCTTATTTTACAATACCTGCTTGTTGGCTAAACTCGTGCTGGTACACCGGGAGTTAGATCGTAGTTTCCAGGACTCCGCGAAGTTCACAACCTCTGCAGAAGTCTGGTATTTCTTCCTCCCTTTCTCTATGTCATTAGCTTTAACACGGTCGTTGTTCCCACAAAGACCACAAGTTTTAGCGTTGTCAGAAACATACACCTGAACCAGGGAATAGCCATCAAATCTGATGTACACCCCGTTTTTAAGAGCCATGGTGAGCTGATCGTCCTGTAGTATTCCGGATATTCCCTTCACCACAAAAGGTGTGTTCTCTTTATACTGGAACTTGTTACCGCCATCATTGATAGCCCACCCTCTGGAGAGAGCAATGTGGTTGCCACTGTCGATAATATCAACCGTATCCAAACATCTGCCTCTGTCGCACTCTTTGTACCTCACGTACACATACCAGGACGCGAAGAAACAGTCCATAGCCAACACATAAGAACAGAAACCATGGAACTGGTAACTCCAACCGTCAAATGTCGACACGTGGGACCCCCCAATAATTGTACAGGATCTCATATCCTCCAGTTTAGGGAGGGTTGTTAGATCAGCTGGTGAGGCTTCAGTTGTTAGGGGTTGAGTTGTAGTAGCTTTATTTTCTACTGTTGTTATTGTCTTAGTTGCCAACTCCGTCGTAACCATAGCTATCAGCTCCGTTAACGTCTCTGTTACCTTGGTAACGGTAACCATGCTGCTCTTCACTCGGCTAGTCAAACAGTTGACTGCCTCCCCAAAATATACCCCTTCCTCGTAGACCCTTAAACTAGCCCCTTCTCCGACTTTAGTGTGGGAGTGGAGGAACTTGTCTAGGATCTTGTACCAGGTAATGCTGGGTTGAGGGTAGCCTCTAGCAGCAGCACTGATAACACCACCCTCCCCGGGTACCAGGTGCACCTGCTTCTCTGATAGGATAATACTCGGGGACATTATCTTACCGTTACACAGTCCTGGGTGCAGTACAGTCAGAGGGGTGTCCAGCTCACAGCTGACCTGTTCCATACGACACTTGTTGAAGTAGGTCTGACAGTCTGACGCACAAACGGGTGAGTAAGTGGAGACACACCCTCTCTGACAGGAGCACTGTCCTTCTGAACAGGTTCTGGGGGGTAAACATGTAGCTTCACAAGGGTCCTCCACTCTAATGTATGCTTCTGAAACTGCAATGCTGCGCTGGTTGAGTGCTATGCAGACGTACCATCCCTCATCTGCTGTGGTGATGGGGTTAAAGACCCTCTTAGTTTTACCAGACCCCTCTACGTCTTGGTGGGGTTCAGGGAAGTAGAGGCCTTGGTGACCTGCTTCTTTCTTGTTGATAACAACCACTGGGGCAGGGGTTCCTGTAGCTGAACATTTCAGCTCAAGTTTATCTCCTGGTTTTACGGTTTGGTTTGATATCCCTGAGATAATCTTAGGCTTTTGATGTCGGTGTTCTTTTTGAGGGTGGCCCGGGACTATCAACAACATCAAAAACAGCAACATAACAGCAACTTGTGTGATAACTAGTAACTGTCGTATGTGATTTAGCAAAAAGTAACACCTATATAGCTATAACAAGGTAGCTAGATACTCTTATAACATAGCCACATCCTCTTTTTAGCCACATCCTCTTTTTCACATCACCCATCGACCAACCACTAACCAGGAGTCACGTGATTTATCTCGACCAATCAGCGGACTGGGTTTAAGTCATGTGGTTTATATCGACCAATCAGCGGGCTGGATTTAAGTCACGTGGTTTATCTCGACCAATCAGTGGGCTGGGTTTCTGTTACGTGGTATGGAAATACAGTCTGCAGGCTCCGTGGCGGATAACACTCGTGTATAAACTAGTGGAAAGCTCCCATCACCTGAAATAGTGCTGATGGAAGAAGTAAGTTACCATGGTTCTGAGCAAGTATGTGTCACGTGCAAGTAGGTGTCACGTGCAAGTAGGTGTCACGTGCAAGTAGGTGTCACGTGCAGAGTGTTTTCAGCCGAGTAGCTCTCCAAGTAAATATGGCATCCACCTGACTTAAAGTTAATTTTGGGTTATAATTCATTCCTTCTCGAACGATCTATCAACCGCATGACATTCGCATGAAATTGTCCATTGTGAGCCTGTGTGTAGTGCGTACTCTAGTGTTAGCTACTACTAACACTACTAGTGTTAGTTACACTACATTGTGTGTAGTGCGTACTCATAAAAAACATGTATAATACAAAGTTGCAGTACACTGCATACTGTTAGATTAGTAATAATAACACTGGTTGGAGACCTGTGTTTAGTTAAAATTCTTTCAATAGTGGTTGCTGATTGCTGAATGTGACCCTTTTAACTTTTTGAGATATTGCAGATACGCGTAATCTCGGCACTTAATCAGTTATCTCATCGGGAGCTACAATGAGCCTCATTAGGCGGTAACGAATAGGTTTAGGTTACCTAACGTTATTAGGCGTTAACGAGCATGTTGGTGGATGACGATCTGATCACCTTGAGTGAAAACTGATAGTGACGTTCCTTAAAACCAAAGAAATTCGCCTTATAGCGCTAACCCGGAAAAGGCTGCAGACAGACGGAAGATTAGTCTTTGGGAATTATAATTCACCAGGTTATAACGGGCACCAATTCGGAGGCATGCTTTTTAACTTTAATCTGTATTCTAAAGAACTGACGGCTACAGAAGTAGCTACCCTGTCTTCAGCTGGATTTTGTGCAGAGATTCCTGAGCAGTTGGAGGAGTACCGGGCACTATCCGTCGTGGAGTAGAGCCTGCGGCGGAGCCGCCGGACTCCGGCGGAGCTCCGCCAAAATGTATTTCGTTTGGACTCGAAACTATTCTGGCGGACTCCGAGCGGACCCGAGCGGACTCCGAGCGGACTTTAAAGTCCGCCGCGGACTCCGAGCGGCTCCGCGGCGGGTCGGTGGAGTGTCCGCCGCGGACTAAGCCACTAGGCGGACTCCGGCCCGCCGCGGACTCCGGCGGAGTGGTCGGCGGACTCCGAGCGGACCTCTCCGCCGGACTTGAATCCGGCGGAGTCCGGCGGAGCTCGGCGGAGTCCACCGGGCTCGGCGGAGTCCGCTCGGAGTCCGCCGGCTTCCAACAGAGTCCACTGACTTCCGACTTCCGACTTCCGACCCTCGGCTAAATTTGTCACGTGACATACAACATAGCATTTTGCGATATTGTGCAAGCGAGAGGGCTATAGTTAGAGCAACACATCGCGCCACAAGCCAAATATTTATCAACATCTTGACTAGCTACGCGGTCCTTTTCCGCATGCGCTCGCGCTGTGCTCAAAAATTGACGTTGTCAATCAATCAACATCAAGATTTTAGTTTTACATTTGACCTTTATGTCAAAAAATCTCTGAATCTTCAATCGGTGGTCGATGTTACCTGAGGACCTCAGGCTTCGTCCTTACTTCGTCACAGGACGATCGGAGCTCGAAGAGCGTAGAGAGTGCTCATGGCGTCGTTCTGTAATGGTCGACGTATTTTTGCTTGCTGGGATCCGGCCGAATGACGCCACATGCAACGTGCAGTAGGGTAAAACTAAAAACGCTTCCCTATATGAGATAATATGACAACAATTGTTTTGGTCACGTGATCAGTCAATAACATTGATATTTCGCTGCTGACGGTTTGGTGGAGGGTTAGGGTCAACGTTTATACATTATAGGGTCAAAGTTAGGACTAGAGTTGTACACTATTGACATTGTGAGGGTAATGGTTAAGGTTTCTCACTAGCGACCTTTTCATCTGACCACAATATCGCAAAATGCTATGTTGTATGTCACGTGACAAATTTAGCCGAGGGTCGGAAGTCGGAAGTCGGAAGTCAGTGGACTCTGTTGGAAGCCGGCGGACTCCGAGCGGACTCCGCCGAGCCCGGTGGACTCCGCCGAGCTCCGCCGGACTCCGCCGGATTCAAGTCCGGCGGAGAGGTCCGCTCGGAGTCCGCCGACCACTCCGCCGGAGTCCGCGGCGGGCCGGAGTCCGCCTAGTGGCTTAGTCCGCGGTGGACACTGCACCGACCCGCCGCGGAGCCGCTCGGAGTCCGCGGCGGACTTTAAAGTCCGCTCGGAGTCCGCTCGGGTCCGCTCGGAGTCCGCCAGAATAGTTTCGAGTCCAAACGAAATACATTTTGGCGGAAATCCGCCGAAGTCCGCTCGGAGTCCGGCGGCTCCGCCGCGGACTCTACTCCACGACGGATAGTGCCGAGTACCGAGTAATAAAGTGGGAAGATATTCTCAAACTGAACCGAGCTGGTGCTGTGTTGGATATAGACACTAGATGTGCTGCACTCGTTGTTACTACCGATAACTCGGAAAAAGCTGTATTATGAAGTATAATATTAAGAAGTGTTCGAGCTCTCTGCATGTGTTCACATAACGAACGTGAGCCAGGTCCGAAAGGGGCTGGTTCTCGTATCAGCCACTGCGATACCATATTCACCGTGATTGGATCTGCCTATTGATCATTCGACTGCTTTTGGACGGTTATAGTTGGGTTAGCTATTTAGAATAAGATGTCGGCCCCCTATAATTGTTAATGATATGGTTTAATTATAATTATACATGGTTTGTTATAGCTGTGGTCACTGGTCAGTTTACTACCGCCCTCATCAGATAAACATTTCACGTGTGGCAGTACAATTGTTTCTTATTCTAGCTCAAATTTAGCTCTCCTTCAAAGTTTTGCTGGTTTTCAAGACAACAACAATTTCAAAGTTTGGCACCGGTAGTCTCTTAATAAGTTTCACGTCTTTGTGTTTTCAGTCAAGACTTTCCCTCATCGCATCATGACTAATATGTATTATGCACGGAGTACTATAGGAGTATAGGGCTACTGGGGAGGAGTTTGTTGACATACCACCACTATTGTGCACCAAAGAAATATATCCATTATATTGGTTCCGATGTAATGAGGGGCAGTCTAAACTTTGAAAGTTTGAGAACTGGAAGATTAAACAATTGGTTAGGTCGTCACTTTATTACTCGGTACAAAGAGTTCTCTGAAACTATCCTTGGATAAAGTTCAAGAACGCTTCAACTCAACCCAAGTGCCAAGAGGAACTTAGACCCACATTCACATTTCACAAGCATACAAGCTCACCTAGTCGTATGAACGGGAAACGGAGATCAAGCTATGGTGACGTCATAGTCACGTGACCTCAAGCTCATAATCACGTGACCTCAGATTCAATCAACTGGTTTCTGGCCTGGTCAGCTCGGTGACAAACAAATAAGAACCTATCATTCCGGGCTCCCACAGGTATCACATTCAAAGCAGAGGATGAAATTAGTCAAATATCTTTCTCAAATGCCACTTATTGAAATAAGCACTGAAATCACCGACTCCAGCAATATCAATGAAACAAATCTCAAAGACCATCTTATGGAAATGTTGTCTCCTTACTCAACTGTAATTCCTCAAAATCACCAGAGCCTCCATATTCACAATTTCACTGCCACCGCTCACTTAATATTCAACTAAACACCCAACAGTATATTAAATTTCAAGAAAGGCGCTCCTATGCTGTCAATTGTGTGTGCACTTATTTCCTTCGCTGCTCCGAAGAGCGAAATAGCTTCACCGAAGATATACGTCAACGTAACTCAAATGCACGAAACCTAAACAATTTTACTATTAATTTGGTGAGAACCTCGCAAATTAGTCATAATTAAGATTTAAGGATAACCTTGGCCCTGACTTCAAACAAAGATGATTGTTTTCATTAATTTCTGTAAACAATTATGACGGTCCATGATAATGGATCTATAATTTATCTATAATCCTGTGTAATCCTGTGTAATCCATCACATGGCCCAATCAGTGACGTATCATTTGTGATGTGATCCATATTCTAGCCATCCTAACAGCCGGACAATCAAAAACCTGGGTAGTGGGTAGGGTTCACATGACAGTTTAGTAAGTAGCTGTGTATTATGAAGAAAGGAATGTTTGAGCTCTCGGCATGTGTTCACATAACGGGCTACTAATATGCACGGAGTACTATAGTGCTACTAATATGCACGGAGTACTATAGTGCTACCAATATGCACGGAGTACTATAGGGCTACTAATATGCACGGAGTACTATAGTGCTACTAATATGTACGGAGTACTATACGGCTACTTATATGCACGGAGTACTATAGTGCTACTAATATGTACGGAGTACTATACGGCTACTTATATGCACGGAGTACTATAGTGCTACTAATATGTACGGAGTACTATAGGGCTACTTATATGCACGGAGTACTATAGGGCTACTAATATGCACGGAGTACTATAGGGCTACTTATATGCACTGAGTACTATACGGCTACTTATATGCACGGAGTACTATAGTGCTACTAATATGTACGGAGTACTATACGGCTACTTATATGCACGGAGTACTATAGGGCTACTAATATGCACGGAGTACTATACGGCTACTAATATGCACGGAGTACTATAGGGCTACTAATATGCACGGAGTACTATAGGCTCAGACTTGCAGGTCATGCTCACCGACATCCGGAGCTGACACTGAACAAACTGATCCTCTGGAA